GACGAAAAACTTGAATGTCTATTAGCTTAGAAATAACTGTATTTATAATACATCTGGAAAATTGTAGAACAACTAGGAAAGAAAATTGTAAGTGATCTAAACAACTAATCTTCTAGCTCGGATCGAAGTCTTTTTAGAGGTTGCCTCGATCTCCACCGTCCGATCTCCCTGGATCGACCCATGCATGGGTTATCCTTTCTTCTTGGGATTATCTTGAATTATCTTGAATCTTGAATCTTGGAATTATCCTTATCCTGCATGTGACTCTTATCCCATGAGTTGCCGCCTAGATGATGAGATGGGCCTTGAGATGGGTCTCCATCAAGTTAAAAACTATAAAGAGGAATTTTTGGACAATGAAGAACCTCATCAATTCTAATGGATTCTCATGAAACGATGCCATCAAGATTGTTGATGTAGAATCCAACTTTTGTAATGCCTACATTGAGGTAATCTACAGTGAATATCAGTTTCCAATGGGCTATAGTTCACTTATTCATAATGAACTATGGGATTTAATATGATAATCAAAAGAACATGTACACTTCGAAATACGACAGATTAAAAGGAAAAATATTCATAGCTACGACCAATTGGCATAAGCCTGTGGAGATTGGTAGGGAGGATGCAGTCTTAGTGATGAGTACTAACACACCCAATGTTGAATCGGTATTTGAAGAGTTCAATAATGTAGATAACAATGCAGGGGATCCCACTCTTCAGCCAAGGCCGGTGGTGGGAAGAGGGAAAATAGTTCTATTGAGGCAAAGAGTCCAGAGAAATAGAAGTCATATGCTTCCATTGTGGTTAAACAAATCTAGGATATTGCTGTAAATCTTGGAAAGGCACCCACCTACTATTGAGAGGGACTAGTCTTTTTGCAAATAAGTTGTATGCAGATGTCATGATCTTGGATGGATGTTCCGTAGCATTTGACTTCTTATTTGAATATGAGAGTAGGGTGATGACTTATTGTGTAGTGGAGATATATTTGAAGAAACCATGGTTTCAGATGAAGTTGAGACTTCCATACTATATGGTTTGGAGTGTTTGGACGAAGCATCGGGACTTTTTTTTTTCTTTGAACCATGAAATTTAAAACTAGAAACTAACAGTTTTTTTTTTCTTGGTGACCATTAATAAATAAATAAATATATATATATATATATATATATCTGAGATGAATGAAATAGGAGAAGTTTTGACAACAAGCTTGCAAGGAGGAAGCCATTAGATAAAGAAATTTTTCGTGCACCTTTTCCAGGCTTGTCTCCTTTGATCAGTTCAAAGGTTTCAGGTATGCTTATCTTGAAAGGAATTTAATAGAGATTATTCATTCTTCCCATATTGAAATCAGCCATGGCCCCTCCTCACTCACCCCAAGGGAGCTGAACCTAAGGGTGTCAAGAGACTGGTTTTAAATCAATTTGGAGAGATTGGATGGACCAACAAAACATATTGGATTGGACCAATCCGGTCCAAAATATTTATTAGATTGGATTGGACATGGCCCATCTGTAATAAATTTATATTGGATTGGGTTGGATTAAGCCAATATCTGATCCATTGATATAAGATAAGAATATATGTGTCAATGGATCGGGTTTGGATTGAAATTAATCTAAATCAAAATGATTTTGAACAGATTGGATGGTTCAAACATTGAATTGCACCGGTCCAAATTGGTCTAAAACATTCATTAGATTGGACCTGGTCCATTTATAATGGACTCACATTGGATTGGATCGGATTGGGTCAAATCCAGTTCAATTGACACCCCTAGCTGAACTTACGGATCTTTTGGCTAAATTTGATGTGTGGATAGAATTTTTTTTTTTTTTTGTACATCCTCTCATGTATATCCTCCTCCCTTTTGCCCCTTTTGAATATAATAGTTATGTTTATATATATATATATATATATATATATATAATGAATGGTTTGAACGAAAATATATATATATATATAATGAATGGTTTGAACGAAAGTTTCTTTACAAGCTATGACTACTTGATAGGTCATGCCAATTGGATGAAATTCCATATGAAATCATATAAATACTGTTGAACAAGTTTAGCTATACTGTTCTTTGAATTGATGGGCAAAAGAGGTATAGAAGTTTCATCTTTTACTAGTTAAAAAACTATTTGCTTTTTAGGTTTTTCAAAGCTTGGAAGACCAAATTTTGGTCTTTCTATATTTGGCAAAGAAAAGTAGAGGTGTAAATCGGGTCGTGTCGGGCCGTGGGTAGCATGGTCCGACACGATTATGTGGCATGTGTTGGGCTTGGGGTTTTAGGTCCATGGGTTGACCCGGCACGACACAACCAAGCAGGCCGTGCCATCCATGGCCCACGGGCCAGCACAGCCCAGCCCACAGCCTGACCCAACATGGCCCACGAGACAACCCATATATTTTTTATTTATATCTATATATTATATATATAATATCATATAAATTATAATTATATAATAATATATAGTATATAATATATTAATAAAATAAATAGTTTTTTTAGTTTTATTATACTAACTTATTTAATTATTATATATATAAGCAATTGTATACACAAAGTTCATATAAAATTACAATTTTAAGTTTTTTGTCAATTTTTTTAAATAAATATCTTTGGCCTGATGCACAACCCAACCTAGCTCAAGGCTTGGCCCACGAGCCAGATCGGCCCGTGGCACAACACGGGCCTGGGCCATGAGCCATGCCGGGCCGACCCCCATAGTTTTCACTAGGGAGGACGGCACGGCCCACGGGCCAGCACAACACAGCCCGCACTTTGCGTGGGCTGCCCAAGCATGAAGTCAAAAAGACCTATGCCTTAAAAAGTTTAAGAAAGCCCAAAATGACCAAAACTCTAGAGGCTTCAAATGAAGCTTTCTATCTTTAGGCATCTAAAATCTTTCATTTAACAATTCGGTAGATCATGCTAAACTAAGATATTTACCAAATGGTCTAAATCTTTAAAGACAACACCCCAAGCCTCATTACATCTTTTGGCTATCTAAGCTATCGAGAGATCTTATGAAAAAGACTTGCCAAACAGAACGTTAGTGCAACCATTTACTACTCTTATCACACTTATGAAGAAACCCATGTATCACTTTAATGGGTATCAACACAACCATCCCCACTCAGGATTTCCTACTCGCTTTTCCTACCCACTCTCTACCTGCATGAATTGCAGCCACACATCTCTCAATTCATAATAGAGATGTGTGGCTCCAATTCACGCGGGTAGAGAGTGGGTAGGAAATCTAGGCTCAACCATCCACCTTTGTACAAAGAGCATGTAAGGCTCAACTTGGAAAAAGTACAAATACAAATATGCAAGGTTTTAAAAACTGACCTGGAAACGGAACCGTTCTAGGTACCAGTTTCCGGGTCAGAAGTTCGACCATTTGGGTTGAACGGTTTGTATATTCGGGTTAGGGAAAATATTTTATATGAGATTTGAGAAAGGAGAACTAGAGTGGAGAAGAGATTTCAACTGAGAAAGAAAAAAAAAAGAAAGAAGAAAAGAAAGAAAGAAAGAAGAAAAGAAAGAAAGAAATGAAGGAGAAAGGAAAATAAGAAAAGAAGAGGAAGGAAAGGAAGGAGGGAAGAAGAACGAAGAGGGGGAGGATGGTTCGACGTCACTGACAACAACGAAGCGGTGGCAACAGACATAGATATGAATTCTCGGATTTGAGATCTGAGATTTAAGTTCTCGGATCTCAAATTCGAGATTCTCTGCAAGTTCTTCTTCTTCTTCTTCTTCCACAGATCTGAGACACGAACTCGGATCTGAGTTCATGTGTTTTTCTCCTCCATCTTTATACTGTGAACCGCAGTTAGAGTCAAACGAGTTGACAGTCCAACCGCCTGAGCCAGTGTTTTTTTGAGAAAGTCAACGATTTTTTACCCAAGAACGGGTTAGGAATGAAACAGAACCGATTACTCAAATAGTTTTCGGGCCGAATGGTCTAACCATCCGGGTCAACGATGGTTCAAAAACATTGCAAATATCTATAGTACAAATACAAAATACAAGATTTTGCACTCTATATATTTGCATTTATACTACTTTCTAAATTGAGCCTAGGTTCAGTTTGGAAGGAATACAAATACAAATTTATACAATACAAACACAAGTAAAATAATACAAAATACAAGGTTTTACACTCTACATAATTACATTTGTATTCTTTGTTCAATTTGGAAGGAGTACAAATACAAATATATAAAATGCAAATACATACAAAATATAAAGTTTTGCACTCTATATATTTGTATTTATACTCCTTCCAAACTGAACCTGAGGCTCCATTTGAAAGGAGTGCAAATACAAATATACAGAGCACAAAACTTTATGTTTTATATGATTTTGTATAGATTTATAATGTATATATTTGTATTTATACTCCTTCCAAACTAAGCCTAAGGAATCAAGTCCTTGTGCGAAGGAGGTTGGCATTGATGTAAACTTGTCATCAGGGGCACCCTAGCTGGAGTGGATGCTTGTTACCGTTGCCATAGTAAGCCTTATATCATGTTTTTCCCATGTTTGCTAAATGGCTTGAAGATGAAGTTTCGACTTTCTATGGGAATTATGTTAGGTGGTAAGAAAGGTTATAAACCAACCAAGTATAGGATCTATAGACTATAGACTTGTATTTTCATGTTATTTAGTATGAGAAATATGTTGGGTTATATAAATCCCAAACCATATTTTGTCTATTTAACATCACTTATTATGTCAATTTGTTGTTGTATATGAACATTTTATGATGTGAACAAAATTTTAAATTTGTAATGAACATTTGTTAGGTTAACATGGGGCAAAATAATGCCACGTGTCATCTAAACTTGCCAGGTGTTTATTACTTAAACATATCATACGGGCATGTTTAAAATTTACTTCAATTTGGCATGGGAGAAGCCAACAATAGCCTTTTCATAAATTTCTCAAGTTTCTAGTAAGGTAAATTTTCCTACAATCCCACACATTTGGGGAATGAACCAAACGGACCCTTAGGGAGGACTGCCCAGTGACGTTGAAGGACGATCACATCCGATCTCTCCTCTCGTCAGTCATTTCCGAGGCGTTTTACCTTGCGAAGTTTTGACTCTGGAAAGTTTTGCCGTGGGCCGTGGCGGAGAGATCTGGAATCTGGAGCCTGGAGGCAGAAAACGAGGGTAAAAGCATCAAAAGAGACTTGAGACGAGAGCTTTGCCGTGGGCTGTGGCGTTTCTTTGTCTCTCGCAAAGACATAAATCACACTTGAAGCTACACAGTGAAGGGGAGAGAGAAAGATAGCGTTTCCCTCTGTGCTGCTGTCTTCATTAGTATCGGTCTTCTGCTTGCGAAATTTACGGGAGCAGACCTCTTGATCTCTCCACATTGTCCCCTTCTATCGATTTGGATCTGCTTCTCTGGTATGGGATCTCTATCTGGACTGAAATTTTTGTGCAATACGCGCTAAAATTTCTTGTTTATTCTTTCTTTTTGTGATTGATTTGAACGGCAGAATTGGATTCTTTTTACTTATAGTAATGCAACTAAATGTCCTGGGTCTTGCAAATTTAAGATGAATAAACAGATTTGTTGTTTCTTACTTGATATTGATTTGGAAATGTGGCTGATTTGATAGCCTGGGTTATAGGTTTAACGATTTAGATTGAGTTTAATTCGTAAGAAGACAGAAATATAGTTACTGGAGGAGCAAGTTTCTAAGTTAATTTGCTTCCACCCATTTGTTTTTCTATTGGAATTTAATGAGTTATTGTTGTGTGCCCAGCTATTCTCCTGTTGAGTTACGATTTGGTTGTTGAACCTTGGAAACTAATGAATTATCAATTTCCAGTGATCCTTTAAACAGTTCGTATGGGAATTGAAGAGATTAATGTGGATTCAGATATTAAAGATTGGCATTTATCGTTGGCCTATGACCAGTGGGTACAACTCCCTGTAACTGGCTCACGACCTCCAGCTCGCTACAAGGTCACAATCTCATTCTAGGACGTAAATTAAGTTTCTATCTTGGTTATATAATTTGCTTTCTTGCTCCACGATCTTTCCTTTTCTTTTTAGGGGTGAGGATTACAAATTGGCATCAATTTGGTCCTTTCAATCTGCTTTATTGTCAACCTTCGACCACTCTGTGCATTTGTGTGCTGGAATTTTTCCTTTTTCTGTGGATGGGATACTGTGGCATTCACTAAATTATCTTCTTTAATATTGTAGCATGCAGCGGAAGTGGTAGATGAAAAACTCTATATTGCTGGTGGGAGTCGAAATGGCAGATACTTGTCTGATATTCAGGTATCTGACATGTCAAACCTTCCTTGTCAATTGGAGTCTGCTCTTGGATGTCCCATAAGATTTAGTTCATTGGTTGTTTTTGCAGGTTCTTGACCTTAGAACTTTGGCGTGGTCTAAACTTAAACTCTATATGGATTCGAACCCTGATAATCTAGAAGATAGTAGCCTCCTTTCAGCCTTTCCAGCCATCTCAGGTCACAGCATGGTAAAGAATTTTGATGAATGACTTTCCTACCTCATTACTTTTTCCTCCACACTGTTGCCATCCTTTCGTTTGTTGATTGTAGATGTTCTCTAATAACTTCTTAGTCAATTATATTGTTTTTTGGCAGATTAAATGGGGAAGAAAACTTCTTCTTCTTGGTGGTCATTCAAAGGATCCCTCTGATTATGTAGTAGGTTTGTTTCTTTATAAGCCATTTTTATTCTCTGAAACAAGTCTTTTAACCTTATGTACTGATAAAAGAGAAAGAGGACAATAAATAAATAAATAAAGCACCTGATCTTTCTATGTACCTTATGTCATGTACCTTGACTTCCTGTAGTTCGGATGGTTGATCTTGAAACAAACCACTATAGTATTTTGAAGACCTCTGGGAAAATACCGGTAATGTTTTTATCCATTTTTTTACACTTACTTATAGCTTATCTTGTTTAGATGTTATCCTTTCCTTATCATTTTCCCTGTCCCTTTTATATTTGATTTATAATTTTGAAAGTTGTAACTCTGATCTAATTATCATTCTTGTTCCCATTGTCACACTTAAGCAGTTGAAGTTTATCTAGCTTGATTAGTGGAATTGATCATCATGGTGATGTATACTGTTTCAGAGAGCTCGTGGAGGGCAGTCCATAACAGTGTCTGGCTGTAGATTGATAATGTTTGGTGGAGAAGATGCTAGCAGGCAGTTGCTTAATGATATATATATTCTTGATCTAGAGACTATGACATGGGATATTGTTGAAACCACGTATGTATGGACTTCCTTACATTTATTGACAGCTTTTTTTTTTTTTTTTCTTTCAGAAAAGTTGTAGATTCCCTACTTCTGTTTTTGTAGGCAGACTCCTCCAGCACCAAGATTTGATCACACAGCTGCAGTGCATGCAGAACGCTACCTTCTGGTATTTGGTGGTTGTTCCCATTTGACCTGCTTCAATGACCTTCATTTATTAGATCTGCAAACTGTAAGCATTTGACTTTCTGGAAACTAGTTTTGTATTTATTTTTTACTAACTACAGTTGTCGTACAATTGCTTAAGTATTGCATTCCAATTTATATATTTAGAGAAATTGATCTATGGTCTTGGCATTTAATTATGTCTCTTTGATGACCCCAATGATTTTGAAAAGCTTGCACAAATTCTAGCAACCTATACTGGTATATCCACTAATCATAATTTAGGAGGCTATTAAATTGTTTGGTTCCCAAAGTTGTATTTGCCATCAGATTTAGCCCATCCTAAGCTATCAATTCAGTAAGGACTTGAGTCTCAACCATGTTTATTACTAGGACAGAATCATGTGAAATAAATAATTTTATTCATCTTGGGCCAAAAGGAAACCTTGCAGAAATATCTTGGTGCAGATTATATTAACACCCCAACAAATGGTCTAAGTTACACCCTTGTACATCTAACCTCTAGAATTTGTTCTTTTTTCTTCACTTTTGAGCATGCTGTTACTTCTTTACTCTGCAGATGGAATGGTCCCAACCACAAATTCAGGGTGATACAGTGAATCCTAGAGCAGCCCATGCTAGCGTTACTTTAGATGAAAACTGGTATATAGTTGGTGGCGGAGATAATAAAAATGGTATATGAGAATTTGGTTGTCATCTTATTTTTATTTCTAGCATATGATGTGGTTTTATGCTCTCTTTTAGTAAATGTCTCCTTTTATGGATTTATAATTAGATTTAATTTATCTATTTTCAGGTGCTTCAGAAGCCCTTGTGTTAAACATGTCCAAGCTTGTTTGGTCTGTTCTGACGAGTGTAAAAGAACGAGATCCACTTGCCAGTGAGGTTGTTAGCATTTGACAATATTCTATAATCTTGTGTGTTTCTTAATCTTGTTTGATGCATAGAATGATAGAAGTAATAACTAAATATGTGCTATCTTAGTTTTGATGAGCATATGGAAGACAAATGCCAACATGTATCTTCACAGCTAGTTCTTGGTGTAATATTTCTTCAGTACTTTCTTGCTGTTTTCTGGTCCTGTTGGAATGACCACCTAAGTACTTCATCTTAAACAGTTTTTTTTTTTTTTTCTTAGCCCCACATTTGTAATGGCCGTTGTAGTCATCCTTCCACATCTTTATAATTTGTAAACATCTTATATAGCTTTAAAGTAATTAATCATGTATTCCTGAATGCTGCTTTAAACATCACTACTTGCTTTCCCTGTAAGCTGTGGGATTTTCAAAGGGCTCTTTTATTTTGGGGTCTATTTTCTTCCTCAAGAAGTTCTTTTATTTTTGAACCATCCCAAGTCATCTCTATTTTTCTTTCATTTATTGCTTTTAGATTTTTGTGATATTGGCTTTTCTGTTAATTTTGAATGGCCTCATCATAACTAATATTTGAGATGAAATATTGCTTTTGTCCTTACTATAGGAAGATATGCATGTCCTTTTGCACATGTTTTGTAGGATCAGAATATCCTTATCTGTTCCCTTCTAGTAGTCTCTCTGAACCTTTTGCCTATCTTCTTGACATTGTTCTTCTGTAATTTCTTTATGTGAGGGATATACTGCCACCTTCCCTATAATTTCTTTATGTGAAAAACCTCACAATGAGTAGATTAGTGTCTTTCCTTGCTTTATGCTTCTTTGTTTGTTTGATTGTTTGCCTCTTTGTTTCGGCTTTGCAACTTATAACAATATGGTTTTGAACTTAATACTGGACTTGTACTAAGTTATTGGTAGTATTCACAGTTACATATGCCATTGCTTTGGTATTATATAAGAAATATTGAAAATCACTACTGGTTGTTCCATTCTGTTGGGTGAAACCCTTTGTTTAATTGCCTTTATTTTACCACAATGCATTGCTTAATGCATCGTGGCCTGTCATAAGGCTGTGTATGTAGGTTTGGTTCCAAATCCTAGGTGGTGTTTTGCTTTGCCCTGCTTACATATGCTTCTGTATGGATACCCGTATGTGGGTGTGTCCATGTTTGGTATATGTAAATTACCATCCAAATCACTGCAGATGGATGTATCATATACACTTTCCTAGACATTCTAGAAGCACCATACTCAATTTGATTGGTTTCTTTGTTTGCTGAAAAATGCTTTCTTTGTACTTTTGAATGCATCAATACCTACATATATCGTGAAACTTTGGATATGATATTTTACAGGGAATCAGTCTTTGCTCTACGATAATAAATGGAGAGAAGTTTCTGGTTGCCTTTGGTGGCTACAATGGGAAATATAACAATGAGGTACTTAATACAGTGACAATTAATGAATTAAGTTTCAGGTTTTGTGTTGGATAAAGTTTGTTTCCATTAAATGTTGTAATCTTGTAGAATTGTTTTCCTGCATATAGTTAGTATCATGAACTAAATTTACTGGTAAACATTTCATGATTATCCATATACTGGAATTTTCATGTACATTTTTTTGGATAGGAAACAATTTTTCTTGTACAAGTTTTCTGAAACATGTTCTGGATAGTTTCCTGGTAGAGGAAATAATTTACTAGTCCCGTACTTGTTCCCTTGAGTAACTGCATAAAAATCTCCTAATTGTTTGTGTTGCTGCTTAATACCATTGCTCACTGGAGAATTTTATGATTGACAAACATGATTTTATTTTTGATTATTGACAGTAAAATGAACTTTATTGAAATAAGTAAAAGGTCCTTTACTATCAATGAACACGGATTACAACTTCTTCCTTTCTCCATAACCACCTATTCTGCAATTCTTAACTGTTTTTTCGAGAGTATCCCAAAGCTGACAAAAAAAAAGAGAGTATCCCAACACTTTTTTTTTTGAAAAAAAAAAATACAACTTTCATTAAAAAGGAAAGATTGGGGGGGTGAATGAGAGGATGTATATCAGAAACAAAAGCCTAAGCAAAAAAACCCAAGCGGATAATTTATTCAAACTTTGCTTGACATGCCTACCTCCTGCCTCCATCCCCAAACAATGGACAATTTAGGTCTGTGGTCTTCAGTTCATGGTTCTGAATAAGGGTGGTGTAGTGTAGTTCTAGAACCATACCATTTTTTGAAATTGACATTTTTTTGGACTAGATAATGGCATAATGCAAAAGAGGTTGTTCTATTCATGGTTCATTTTTTGATTGCACGACTGGTGTATGTGTACCTTCATTATTTACTTTTGATTGGTTATTATTGAGTAAAAAGTAGAAACATTGTGACAAGATCTATTGGTGTGTGGTGACACACCATTGGTGTTATGTCATGCTTACATCAGTGAACCTTGTTGCACAGTTGACAAGGCTACAAAAGTTGTGTTAAAAAATGTCTTTCTTACTGGTTCTAGGACCATGTATTGCTGGTTTCAGTTTCAGAGGCAGCAACAGCATACAGAACTCTTATTTCCATCGTGAGATTTTTGTGAACCAAACGAAATACAAACACAACCATGAACCAAAAACACCCCTAGTGGTTGGAATGGGTCTAATGATGATCTCAGAAAAGAAAAAAAAAATAAAGAAAAAGGAATTTTTTGTAGTAGAATCCCAAATAGTTGTTTTGGGTAGCTTTGTAGTCAATTTGGATATAGGGGTATTTTTGTCATTTCATAATTTGGATTTTGGTTAGGGGCAGTTGGGTGCACCACTATTGGGTTTTGGTCGCTTGGGTGTTTTTATAACTAGAGCTATCTTTTGGGGGGGCTGTTTGAAGTTGCTTTTGTTCTGAAGGAGCTGTCTGTGATGGGGGGACATTCTAGGGAGTAGGGGCTTATGTATAAATATTTTAGTTGGTTCCTCTAGCAAGCCATTGAGTCTTATAAAAGAGAAGGGGGCTGTTTCCGTGGGGGTCTTTTTTGTTCTTTCTCTTTTATTTGAGTTGTAGCTCAACCCCAGCCAGTGATTTAAAAGGCACACCTAGGTGCACAGGTGCAGCCCTTTTGAAAAGGTGTATGCCTAGTATTTTGTGGTAGTGCTTAGGCCCTGGCACATGCATGTTCCTTGTATTTTGTGGTTTTTATCTCTATTGCCCATTCTTGTTCTCTTGAAGTACTGTTAAGTTTTATAAATTGGTTGTCTGCCCACATCAAGTTGTATCAGAGCATTTTCTTTCCTTGGGGTGCTTCAAAATTTATCTTCTTCCTGTATTTTACTTCTATTATTATGTCTACAAGGGGTGCACATGGTAGGGGTGGTAGAAGACCACGACATGTTACTGTAGATCCAATCCTCAACTCTCGTGGATTGAATTCAATGAGGTGCTTTGTGCCATATTTGGTCTCACTGCTTATGAAAACTTTGATGAAATTTTGTCCAAATCAAAACAATCAGAGTGCCAAATTGAATTTGAGAAACTAGCTACCAAAGTCACTGGTTGGTCTAAATCTGGTGGGGTATTTCGTTGGAGGATTGAAGGAAGAAATAGGCTTGAAGTTAAAGGTCTAGATACGTATATGACTATAATGGTCATCGCTGGATTGGTGAGGATGCAAGAAACTGAACTGCCTTAGATGGTTGATCTGGGGACCTGACCCGATTCTTAAGACTCCACTGAACCGGATCGAGCTGATTGGACTAACAGGCCAACCAACTGCCCTTCAAATGGTTCAGCTGGGCTGAGATGCAGGATCAAATAGGGAAAGGCTTATGCTATAATTGCAATGAAAAGTTCTCCCTGAGCCACCACTGTAAGACTCAACAAGTATATCTACTCCAAATTGAGGATGTGGATGAGGTTTCAAACTCTATGGCTAACTTGGATAATACACTTAACAATGACCTGGGCCCACGTGAATCTAAGATGACTGAGATGTCATTAAGTGATTAGGATGCTAATGAGCCTTCCTTCCCCTCAAACCATGAGGGTACATGGGCTGTTGATGGGTCAAAGGGTGATTATGTTAGTGGACAGTGGCAACACATTAAACTTTATCAATCAATCATTGGCTAAACAATTGGGCCTAGCTATACATACCCAGCCCTTCTTGGTTCAGGTGGCAGATGGAAACGGATTGGCTTGTGATGGGCTTTACAAGGCTATTAATTTAAAGATACAGGGTAGACCATAATAGTATACTCTTGCCCCCTTGACTACAGCCGAGCCATTATGGTCTTGGACATGTAGTTGCTCCATCAATTGGGGCTGATGATGTGTGATTGGGCCCAACTCACAATGGACTTCAGTTTTGGAGGCGATAGCTATCATTGGCAATGGGTTCAATAGATCCTTTAATTTGTTTTTGCATTCATCAATTCATGTTCAATCTTTTTCTTTTTTTGTCCACTTGGACAACTTGATATGAAATGTTATGCTTTGAAGTTCCCAAATGTAATCAAAATGCTATTATAGCCACTAATGGTTTCTTAACTCAGGCTATCACATCAATTGTTAACAGCACCTCTGGTTTCCATTAGGTATTTGTTTTGAGACCCAAACTGAAAGACTCCTTACGGCCTAAGATTTTCCAATCACCAGCAGCAGCTGCTGCAGCAGCTTCTGTAACAGCTGCATATGCTTTGACTACAAAAACTGAGTTGGATTTCACAAATACAGAAGATTCAAATTATGAGGAAGTCCAAATGAAGAATTCAAAAGAGGATTTCACAGCTGAAATTAATGCAATTACGGAAGAAAAGAAGATGCTGGAGTCATCCCTTACAAAAGTGAGAGAAGAGAATTCTAAGCTCCAAGGAAGTCTCAATGAGATGAACAACACTCATGCTGAGTTGTCAAAGGTACATTAATAGGGATTATTTGAAAATAAAGGTTATTGCCAACTGGTTAATGTTTGAACTTCTCTGTTTCTTCTATTTCTCTCAGGAACTTATTTCAGTCCAAGGTCAACTGGCATCAGAGAGATCAAGATGCTTCAAACTAGAGGTTTTTCTTTTCTTTTTCTGGTTTCATATTGTTTCTTGAGGTGTTCTGGTTTTCTATTGTTTCTTGAGGCATCTCTTTTTCTTTTCCCACTTAATTGTGTTGTTTTCTGTCTGTCTACTTCATTATCTAGGCACAAATTTCAGAACTACAGAAGATGCTAGAGTCATTGCAATCTATAGAGGATGAGGTACAAGTACTCCGGAACCAAAAGTCAGCCTTGGAACAACAGATGGAGCTTGCTTCTGCCAGTCAGAGGCAAGGTTCAGGTGGCATTTGGCAGTGGATTGCTGGCAGTACACCAAACTCATAAGAATTCTAAGGTTAGTACCCTGAAATGAAAATGGTTGATACAAGATGGTGGTAACATCCTGTACCACTGAAAAATTTCCAGTTACATATCCATGTCCAAATTACAACATGATGGACAGAATGAGATTGTCTACAAAGAATATATAGGTTTCTTTTTCTCTTAAGCATGCATTAGAGATTATGTTGTGTGCAGGGACTTGGGAGGTTATATTAAGAGTGATTTTTAGATTTCCATTGTCAATGTAATCGAAGATGGAGGTAATGGTAACATTTCCAATTGGATCTGATATATAAAATTTGTCAAGCTTTTTCTTTTAATGGTGAACAAATTTTGTCAAGCTTATTGAGTACAGGAATGGTTATTTGTACTATTGCATATGTAATTCTGTTCTTAACAGTTGCATTTTGTCTGTTGAACATTGCTGAAAGGAGAAGAATGCTTGAAGGTATTAATTTTTTGAAAATCATTTTTGTATAGCTAAGATGAGCGTGCTAAAATGAATGGATGTCATGACTTGGAATGATAAAATTAGTGACACAGGAGTAGCAGCTCTAATGGGTGACAAGATGATAAAATGTTGTCTATGTTTTGGTCATGTGCATAGACAATCAATAGGAGTGACTTGATGCAGGTAGAAGTCTCTTAAAGGTAAAGGGAAAGTTGAAATATGGGAACTGAAATAAGCAACATGTTGGAGGGAGTGGACATTAGCATACAATGCAGAAGTTGCACGGTGAATTAAAAAAGTAACTATCACATTAAAGATGTTATGTGGTCTATTTAATTTTCATTAGTTTACATTTCATAAGGTATACTTGTAATTATGTTAAAGATTTTATTAAAGTATTAATTGTGATGTCTCACTTTGTCATTGGTTCAGTTTCTTATATTTTGCCAAATTTCCAATAGTAAAATGATGTTCTTTTGGGGAGTTTATTTGACTACCCAATTGCTAGTGAATCTAGTCATAAAGTGGGCAAGTAAACTAGGGGTGCAATCGAACTGATCTAAGCCTTGATTCGACTAAAATACTCTTGTATTTGAGTTCAAATTCAATTTGAGTTCTATTTTTCCGGTTTGATTTCAGTTTGACTAAATATTCGAATAGTTTGAGTTCGGCTCACAAGGTGCCAAACTGGCTAGTTGGTAAGGTCTCTGCTTGGCTGTAATAGACTTGGCGCCTGCACCAGGGGTGGGGGGTTATGGGTTATCCCATGAAAAAAAGTTTGAGTTCGGTTTAAAAGCTTGAAAAAGTAATATATTTTTATATTCTATAATATTTATAACTTTTTAATCAAGTACATACTGTTCATAGCCTGATTCCATTGCATCCTTACAACTGCTTTATCAATGTATGTAAGAAGCTTAATCATCTTTTGCTCCTGGAGGATAGGAATAGGGTGCGGTAATACTGCTGTCTCATTCTATAATATTTATTACATTGCACGGCAATGTAATAATAATATCTCAAGATTTGATAAGCACGATGCTTCATGGGTGTACAGTGTACGTTATAGCAATTTAATAATATCTCAAAGATTTTTTTAATTCTTCATAATATCTCAACTCTCAAGATTTGAATTGTTGTCAAGAAAGATGCTTGATTTTCCCTAAGGCTGCATTTGTTTATAAATTCAAATTTTACACGATGAAAAATGTGAACCGGTTTAGTGATCGATGAAAATTGAAACTGATTGATTTTGAAAATTTACACTGATCATGTTTAGTTGTCTAAGGTGTAAATTAAAAAGCTTACTGCCGCTGCTTTTCGCATAAAAACTGGGCTCGACAGAGTAACAGCCGCTGCTTTCACCGCTCATCAATGCTTACTGCCGGTCGTGCACCTTCCTGTTTCGATTTACTTCCACGGTGGTGGAATGATCCTCAACGGTCCAGACACCATATTCTGCCACGAATTCTGTGAGAATTTCATTCGATTTGGACCTGCAATTCTTGTGTCTGTTGCTTACTGTCTCGCTCCAGAGCACAGGCTCCCGGTTGCTTATAAAGATGGGGAAGATGCACTTCTGTGGTTGAAGAATCAGGCATTGAGCCCCAATGGTCAGCCCTAGTTGAAGAATTACGCCGACTTCTCTTGCTGTTTCCTTACCGGGTGGAACAGCGGAGGCAACACTGCGTACAATGTGAGGCTACGCTCCTTGGACATGGACCTTGCGCTGGTGAAAATCCAAGGGACGATTTTGGACCAGCCCTTGTTTGGTGGGATCGAACAAATAGATTCTGAGGTGGAATTTGCCGACGATCGGATTCTACCATTATCGGTAACGGATCTAATATGGGAATTGGCATTGCCATTGGACGCCGATCGAGACCATGAATACTGCACTCCCATGGTTAGAGGGAGTCACAATGCAAAGATTGGATCTATAGGAAGGGTTATAGTGTGAGGGTACGGTGGGGACATACCATCGATCGGCAGATGGAGTTGGTTCAGATGCTAGTGAAACATGGAGTGCGAGTGGAGGCACAATTCGAGGAAGTTGGGTTCCATGGAATCGATCAAATTGATCGCAACGGGGCTATAGAGACCATGGCTATTAGAATAGGCGATAGAGCAATAGTCGTGGAGAAGATTGCAGGATTTGCGCTGTTGTTATTGTTTTGGAGTTGCGTGAAAATGCTAGGAGAGTATCGCCGTTGGGAGTTTTGTGTTCTCCGGAGAATATAGTGAACAGAGCTGGTCGTAGGTAGGAAAAGAAGGAGAAGAAAAGAAAAAGGGAGAGAGAGAGAGAGGCATGGGATGGAGCGCGGAAGGGATCCGGTCGTAGGTGGGGGATGCCGCCGTCACACTGGTTCACTCTCTTCTTGGTTCAAACGAATAAAGGAGACATGAGGTAACCGTTGGACAGAGGAAGGTAAAGTTTTACATTGATTTTATGATGTAAAACTTTCCACTGATTTTTCGATGAATATACTGACAAGAATGGACTTTTACACCCATTGATAGGACTCTACCAAATGCCTGTAAAATCAAAACCGGGGTGTAAAGTTTACCCCGGTTCTCATTTACACTTCAAACAAACGCAGCCTAAGAGGCTGGTTAGGATTGGTTTACAGATTCCCGTGAACCGTGATTAGCATGGCCGGTTGGCCGGTTATGACCAGTTTTGTCATGGTTTTGAAAACCAGATTGGACTAGACAGTTGGATCGGTTGATCTAGGAACCGTCCAGACAACCAGTTCTATTACACCTTTAACATGATATTTGGCCAAAAATATTGATTTGATTAGTGACCCATTGACCTGGGTGGTTCAACATTTTGACCCATTTGATCCGTTCATTTTTTGCCATTTTGTATTTAAATTAATTTTTTATTTTCTAAATTGGAATGGACCATCCGTCAAATTGGATGGTCAAACTATTGATCGGGAAACCATTGGCCAGAATAGTTTCGATTCCTGGTCAGTTTTTAAAACTTGGGTTTTGTTACCATTGATTTTTACCTTGACTGAAATGGATGATGAATCGATTTACAATTTTACAGGTTGAATTAATCAATCAAAACTAATTCTCTTGGTAAGATAAACGAAGGGTTTAAGAGCCAATAAATGGGAGTGCAATATGAAATCTTTGAAGAAGAAAAATCCACTCAAATATGATTCTTTGTAAAACTCAGTTTGGAAGGAGTACAAATATAAATTTGTAGAGTACCAAACCTTATATTTTGTATTATTTTTTATATATTTGAGGCTCAATTGGAAAGAATACAAATACAAATATATAGAATGCAAAAACTTGTATTTATACTATACATATTTGCATTTATAATTTTCTCGAACTTGAATTAAAGGCTTTTTCTCTGTACTTATTTCACAAAGGCTAAATTGAGCTTTTGGAAGGAATACAAATTTAAATATATACAATATAAATAAAAATAATAATACAAAATACATAGTTTTGCACATTACATATTTGTATTTATACTCTTTCCAAACTGAGCATTAAACCAATCATTGTGGAAAACTTGTCACATAATGCTAGTTCAGTGCAGCCCAAAAAATGGTGCAGGGCATCCTGAGAACTCTGACATCCTTGTACAAATTATGTCGATATTTACGTAATATTTTGATTTATCATTCATTAATGTTATTCACTGTCCGATTTAAAATTGAATTTGACGTTAATCCGATGCAAATCCGACGGAGAAAATTCGATTCAAACCCGAGTTGAGACTCGATTCGAGAGGCGTCACCATTCACCAGTGAGAGAGTTGGGACCCGTTAACGGTGATAGTAGGAGATCCCCACAGGCGCCCGACATGCATATCTCATGGGCAACGGGATCTGCTCCTCACACGGGGGCGCCTCACATGTACATCTACATTGGAAGCATCTCCCGTAAATAATAATTCATAAATACGGGAGATGTTCCTAATGCATGGTGCGATGTGCGTGTGAGGCACGAGTGTGACGCCCTGTGCGAGAGTAGATTCGGTCTCATCTCATGGGATGTTCTCAATATAGAGATTGAATCTGCTCTTCACACTTGGCGCCTCACATGCACATCCTATCTTTGAAAACATCTCCCGTACTTATTAAGTTATTAGTTATTATTCACGGAGATGCTCCCAATGCAAGATAGATGTTTTTGTGATCGCCCATTTGTGAGGAGCAGATCCTCTCATAAACCAAATCAGCCCCCCATATAATTGCTCCCCACTACGTCTCACAGCACATCCCCAATATGTATTGGGAAGATTTCCTGATGATAATCTCAGAAATAATAATATCATCTCGTAATCCCAGACATGTGCTGTGGGACGTTGTGGGGCTGATTTGAACTCATTCCGTCACATATACGGGTGGGAGGTGATGTGAGGCGCCGCGCCTGTCTCAGGTGTGCCGTTGATTTGCGACACGTGGTTCGAAAAATTGTTAAGTAGGAACTAGGAAGTCAAACGTCAACGTCCATACAAGGCAGTTGCAATAGAAATATAGAAAATTCATATCTCCAACTCAGTACTCAGTAGGAGCAAGTGAGAAACCTTTTTCACTTATCGGATAGATCTGTCTCAGAGCGACTGAGCGATAGAGAGGGAATGGAGAGATACGCAGAGCTGAAGGAAGCAGTAGAGAAGTTAGAACTCGTGGACGCCCATGCTCACAATATCGTTGACCTCGATTCCACCTTCCCTTTCCTTAGATGTTTTTCTGAAGCTGAAGGAGAGGCTTTATCCTACGTCCCTCATTCTCTCTCCTTCAAGGTAAATTTTGGTAAAAGGAAAAATAGAAGAAATTCTTAATCCTTTCTTTTGCTTCCTCCATTACTGAATACTGGTTATTGGCTGCTCTCCATTTATACACTCTCCGCTACCCTGTTTAATTTAGTTAACCCTGCTGCCTGGTTAGTTTCCACTCCAGTTGAGTTGGTTGACTTGTGAATCGGAGACCTGTTTGAAGAGGTCCACGAGTCGTAGTGCGATTCACTTGACTGGCTCTGGTTGGTAAATGAATGGGTTGGATCATTAAAACGCCAATATCTTTATTTAATTCGGATTTTCAAGTTTTTCTCACATAAAGACGTGTCTATGCAATTAACGTCTCGAGTTTTCTCTAGTGCTCCCATTTTTTTTTTTTTTAATTTCCAACTTAGCTTGTATTTTATTTTTCCCCTTTTCTTTGTTAAACTAGATCCCGTATTTTTTCACTGAATAAGTATTGACTTCCATTTTCTTTTATTCTTCTCAGTTAACGTTTTGGTTAAAATGTTATTCTTCGTAGAAATCAAAATCACACTTATCTTGGTTTTGATACTTAAGTTAGAAAATAAATAGAGTACATGGAGATAAGCTTGAGACGTAACATGCTCCGTTATGTGCTGCAATTAACTCTGATGCTGTGCCTTTTGAAAGTTTGATATTTATATTTTTCTTCGTAGATTGATAAAAAAGGGAAAAACCTATTTGGTGTTGGTAAAATAAAAGCGGGTAGAGAAAACAAGAGGCAATTGTATTACCTTAGATTTAGTTCTCTTTAGTGCACTGTGAGTGCTCATATATGTAAAGATGTAAAGAATCGCAGAATTTGAACAGTGAATCTAGGACTACGATTTTCTTAACATTTGTTCTGACAGTACATGCTTTGTAAATGACAGAGAAGTTTGAGGGATATTGCTAAACTCTATGGATGTGAGACATCACTGCATGCTATTGAAACACATCGTAGATCCTCTGGATTACAGTCAATTAGCATAAAGTGCTTTGAAGCTGCGAAGATAGGTGCCATTCTTATTGATGATGGAATTGAGTTTGATAAGATGCATGATGTTGAGTGGCATAGGAATTATTCACCAGTTGTTTGCAGGGTATTAAGGATTGAGCACCTGGCTGAGAAGATTCTTGATAAAGTGAGTAACTTTAATTTCTTTTTATTTTGTCTTATGGTGTTTTATGGGTTGAATTATCCAGTCTTGACTTCTAATTCATCAACATGTAGATGGCCATGCTCTTTTATTCCCTTTTTTATTATTTTCTATCTTTATATCTTTATAACTGCAATTTAATTCATTAGTATATTCTATGCATGTAATATCTAGGACAGTTGTAATACTTGAATTTTGTGTCAAGCAATTCTTTGCTTTTCTAGATACTTATGTAGTTCTACAAATACTTTTCTGTTCTTAAATGTTGATAGGTACCATTAAGAAATTTGGCTATTGATAGACTTGAGAAGCATCACTTTTGTTGGTTCAGTAGATGTTATGGTAATTGTGTTATTGATGTGTCCATAAAAAGATTGTATTATTGATGCCTCAGGATCTATAGTTATTGATTAATATTAAGAGAAGTAATTATATAAATAATAATCCTAATAATATCATCATTATCACCACTTTTAATTTGTTAGTATAATTATCTGTGACTTGTAAAAGAAATAAAGACAATAATAAAGAAACATATTGGTTATGTTAAAATGGTTTTGCTTGACCAAGTTTGTTTCTATTTCTTCTAGCATACATAAATTCCTACATCCAATATCATTTCCAAAGTTGTGACCTTCAACAATTTGGGGTTGAATTGGGACTTTGGTTTTAGGAGGGGTCTTAGGGAGATGGAATGTGAGACTTTCATACTTCTATTGGCCAAATTAAATTTAGTCTTCTTGGACCAACGTATAGAGGACACAAGGGTATGACAATATCTCCTGATGGTTTCTTCACCAGTGCATCTTTGTTGGGGGATCTTCTTTGGAAAGAAAAATACTTGTGACTTGCTGCAGGAAAGAAGGTCAAATAAATGTCTTCCCCTCATATATGTTGCCTTTGCAAAGCTAGTGGTGAAAGTATTTCCCATTTGTTTATTTACTGTTATCTTGTGCTTTGTATTTGGGATCATTTTTGTTCTCTTTTTGGATTTAGATGAACTCCTGCCCAGTATGTGGTGGGTCTCTTTGATCCAAACTTTCTAAGATAGACAAAGAAGAGAGGAAGAATAATGTGGAAAGTAGTGAGAGTAGCACTGATTTGGAACTATATGGGAAGAAAGGAATGGGAGGATTTTCAATGAAAAGAGTAGGTCTGAGTTGGAGATCATAGATACCATTAAAATAAAAGTTGCACACTCAGTAAAAACCATAGAAACCTTTCATGATTTCTCATGATATTTTGAGATCATGGAAGGGCACATTTGGCTCAAGAGAAAGAGAGAGTGATAATGGAGTGGAGACCACCAACAACCAATGCTATGAAATTAAACTTTGATGGAAGCTTTTTGGGAAGTGAAGGAAGGGTTGGTTTAGGGGGTGTCTTTCGAGATTCAGAAGGTAAGGTACAGGCACTATTTTCGGGCCCTGTAGAGCAAGGAGACTCATTGACAGCAGAACTGCTGGCTTTTCTTCAAGGACTGAAATTTGCAAAACAGTTTGGGTTCCAGATGTTGGAAGTGGAAGGGGACTCCCAGGTGGTTATTTCTTGGACAAAATTTCAAGTCAAAGTCCTTGGATTTACAGGCACAAGATCTGGGAAATTGAATGTGTGACAAGGGGTTAAATATTACCTTTAAGTGGGTGAGAAGAACTGAAAATGGCATTGCAGATGTTTTATCTAAACAAGGGGCAAATAGGTAGAAGATGTTTTGGGCTAAAGTGTAATCTTTTAATTTTGGGATTGAGTACTAGCTTTACTTTGATGTTTTTTCGGGTGTGGGTAATATATCCACAGCAATGTAACTTTCAGCAAGTTTTAACATTTATATAATAAATGCTTGGCAAGGAAATTTGGTATCGAGAGAGGTAGTTAGTGGAGGCCTAATTTCTGCAAAATATGGCTCGGACAGAGGAGATTGGATAACAACTAATTTTTTGCCCTCCCTGGGCTGCTTTATCTGGAAGAGAATTATGGCTCTCCTTGCTAGTTTCTGTAGAGAAATCAGCCCAAAAATTGGTAATGGTGGCAGATTGACTTTCTAGAAAGACCCCTGGTGTACTGACTGTCCTTTAGCTAAGATCTTCCTGCAGTTGTTCCAGTTAGCAGTGGACCAAGATGCACGGGTTGCTGACTACTATGAGAACTTGGGGAATGCTGTTGTTTGGTGTCCATCTTTTCAAAGAAGTTTTCAGGATTGGGAGCTGTGGAGTTTTGCTGAGTTGCTTCTATTGCTCTTGGGCCAAGAGGTGGATACCAGCGTGGAGGATAGTTGGAGTTGGATCTGGACTATGGATGGGCTGTTTTCTATTGTTAAAAGTGTGCCGAATAGGGGTAGTTTAGTCTTCTTATGTTTGTTAAGTAGCTTGTTTATGTGGCAGTGTTATTAGAGTTACTCTGCCCCACACTTAAGTAAGGGCATTTTTGTCTTTGTAAAGATTATTAGAGTCTAATATAGATTAAGGGGGTCGACTGAAGGGGTAACCCATCAGATTTCGACAGACCCTTCTTCTTCTTCTCTCTTCTTCTTCTTCTTCTTCTTCTTCTTCTTCTTCTTCTTCTCTTTCTGGTTCGGACTACTGTAGCACCAGTCGAAACATCTATTAAATCTTTTGCTCTCAATCTGTCTACGTGCAGTCATGGCACAGTCCCTGCCACCAGGATCTTGAACCCCTTTTCTCCATCAAAATTAATGTGTTGGTGTGGGCTGCAGTATTAAACAGGTGTCTTACAAATGTGAATCTGATTAGAAAGGAAATGCAGATTCTTGATCTGAGTTGTATTCTTTGTGGGCAGGGGACTGAAGACGCAGATCACCTCATCATCCACTGTTCTGTTGTCTCCCGTTTCCAGTAGCACTACCTCAATGCTGTGGGGGTGTCCTGGGCCATGCTTAACTTGGTCTTGGATATCATATGGGGCTGGAACCTGCCAGGTCTGTCAAAGACTGCTAATTGTATATGGGTGTCTATTCCTGCAGCTGCCTTTAGCACAGTGTGGGCTGAAAGAAACGGAAGACTTTTCCATCACACCTCTAAGGATGTGGACGGGCTAATTTCGTTGTCTTTTGGAAAGCTGGTGTATTGGGTCTCAGCTGTTAAGGGGCTTCAGCAGCAGAATCTGCCAGCCTTGCTGAGATCTAGAAGTCTGTGGGAGTTGTAATCTTGTTGTAGTTTGTGTTTTCCTTTGCCTGGCCAGGGATTTGTTTCTTGGGGGCTTGTTACATCATGTTCTTTCTAGTTTTTTAATAAAATTTACCTTACCTTTTTCAAAAAAATAAAAAAATCGTGCAGATCATCTTATTTCATCCATTAGAAATGGAGTTCTACTTGCAGATAGGTCATGTTTAGATGACCTCAATTTGTTTTCTATTAATTTCTTTCCTGGAATTTTCATATTAACTTTGATGTTAATTTTTTTTTTTTTTGATCAATAACTTTGAAACTTTTATTGATTAAAATACTTTAGGATACAACAATAAGTTACAAAAGAAATCAACATAGTAAGCTGACCCAGTACAGAATTACAAGTGTGCCCAAAATATATCTTTTCTGTGAACCCCTTGCTTTGCTAAGCTATCTGCGAAACTGTTTTAACTTTGATGATAAATCTTAGACTGAACTTAAATCTTGTTCATCTTCTATATTCATTATCATCCTTTTGACCACATCATTGGAGATAACACATAATGTTACCATTTTGTTTGGGTTTTGTAATGATAACTTTGTAATAGTAGTTTTTCTTTTTCAGGAATTACCAAATGGATCAGAATGGACATTGGACATGTTTACGGAAACCTTTATGACAAAGTTGAAGTCATATCCTTGAAATTTATTTGTGGTGTTACATACTTACCCTGTGTATTATTGGCAAAAGGAGTCATTCCATCTATCAAATTTGTTTTCTTAGCATATCTAGTACTGTTGCTGATAGAGTTGTTGCCTTGAAGAGCATAGCTGCATATCGAAGTGGTCTAGAAATTGATACACATGTTAATAAGAAGGATGCGGAGGAAGGACTTATTGAAACCTTAAGTGGTATGGGATGTAATGCGCTTTGTATACATGATATTTTAGCATTGTTAATTCAGGTGTCTTCATATTTATTGAAAGATGATATTTCTTGTGCTATTTCTATTTACAGCTGGGAAGCCCATCCGCATCCAGAATAAGCACCTTATTGATTATATTTTTACATGTAGTTTGGAGGTTGCTTTGAAGTTCAACTTGCCAATGCAGATACACACAGGGTATCAATTTAACCTTACTAGCATAACCCTGTCAAATCGGAAGCTCCCTTGTGGTTATCCTCTGTTCCCTCTGTTTTCATTGTAATTTTATGGGTTTTCTTTTTGCCCTTTCTTTTGAGCATCAGTTTTGGAGACAAGGATTTGGATCTGAGACTGTCTAATCCTCTTCATCTGCGGACTGTTCTGGAGGACAAGAGATTTGCAAGAAGTTGTATTGTGCTTCTCCATGCATCCTATCCATTTTCAAAAGAAGCTTCATATCTGGCCTCGGTTTACCCCCAGGTACAATCTATTAGTTTTCAAGGAATCAGTGATCAGGAAGGTATTAAGTTACAGTTCTAATTATCCTCACAGATCACATAATGTCTCACAATCAGGTCTATGTTGACTTTGGACTGGCTGTACCAAAGCTTAGTGTCCATGGGATGATATCTTCAGTCAAAGGGCTTCTAGAGTTAGCTCCAATAAAGAAGGTGATAAAGTGTGCAAGTGTTTGATCTATCTTTATTGTTTATAGTTTCAGTATGTGCAGTCATATTAACTTGTGCATATCAATAACCTTGTGTGGCTTTTTATAATATACAATCTTCTTTTGGATATAAACCATGCGTTGCATTTCTATTGGCTAATATAAATAGTATATATCTTTAGAAGAAAATTCTATGGAAGGATAAGCATGAAAATTTAGAGTATGAGTGCACCATCATTATCCATGACATGACATGTTTTACTTGCAGTATTATGATATATTAGATATGGATAAACTAGATTTTCTCTTGTATTTATCTCTCTATGTTGTTAACTACAAGTGAACAAGTGCTATATGTTAATTTGTATTGACCAAAATGCTCCCGGGCTCTCTTTAAGAAATGATTTATCCTTTTCTCTATTCCTGCTAGTTCATATCCTAGTTGGAATGCTCAGAAGGAGAAAGACTATGAAAAGAAATATTTTTAGGCCTGATGTGTTAGATGGAGCATGGAGTTGGTTATATGTGGATCTATGTGCCCCCCCTCCCCCCTGCCCCGCGCAGGCCCCAAATCCAATAAACTTCCAATTAACCTATGCTTGAAGTTCTATTTCAAAGGAGAGGGGTGGAGGTCGAGTAACAGTGAGGGCTAAGCATCCGACCTCTCCAGAGAGACAAAACCCTAGGAGCAAGAGATCTTGTCCAAAGAAGTCTGTGAACAAGTGGAGGGGCTGAATTGTCAAGTGAAGGGGAAAGTAAGTCAGATGAATTTGAGACCTCCAACATTGTAGTGCCTTCATGACCAGACACCCGGGGTTTCAAGATTTTAAAGTTTTAATACAGAACAACATTTTTAGAGGAAGATGATAGCGGAATCTAGAAAATCTTACTAGATCTGAAGCTGTAGCGGGGATTGGTAGGGAAGAAAAGAGCTCCCTTGGCAGGGAGCACAACCAGTGCTCAACTGGACATAAAACGTTCTTAGAGGCTCAACAAACACAGGGAGTCTCGTTGGTGGTTTCCAACTGTCCTTGCAAGAAAAGTGATGGTACCTTCGTAAGGGCCTCATTTTTTAACTAGGGTCAACTAGGCATTCCTTAAGTAACTTTGCCTTTTTTCTAGCCTGGTGGAAAGTGGTACCTTGGGTCAAGTTCCAATCCATTTGTACCCAATCCCAACATTCCTTTGGAACCTAAATCTTCTGGTGTGCTTGTCAATTCGATTAAGGCTGTTGGAAGGGTTAGAAATCAGGTTTGACATGGCCAAACTAGGTTTGGTAGCTGGCAAAATTTTCTAACCCAACCTGGGAACTGATTTCTCGGTGATTTTGATATCTGAAATTTTGGGATTGATCTTGCACCGAACTGGACCAGATTTGAAACCCTAATTAAAACTGATCATACTTGATACGGAGACCACAAAAACGCAGTTCCCAAAGTGGTAGTTCACACCCAATATTAGTCTCAAAATCGGCCTCCAACTGAAGATGGCGCAGTGTGTATGTGAAGCTGGTTCAGCAACACTATTTTAGCAAATTTGTTCTCCAACTTGCTTGGATTGAATTGATAATGTGAACCTGATATGCCTTGATGTTTTTCTTGCAAAAACATAGTGGAGGACTGATATAAAACAACCCCCATCAAGGCTAGGTCGAACTAGGGTTTCTAGGAGACAAGAGAGAAGAAAAGAGAGCAAGAGAGAGTGGAAAGAATAGTTTTTTCGCCCCTCCCCTCTTAGTCTCTTATATGGAGCACTCTCCTAATCTATTTAGGAGTTGATCCAAATCAAATTTGGATCAGGACTCTATCTTTAATTGATAAGCATTATCCTCTTAAGAGGATAGGTGCATTTTCTCTAATGATTCACATCCCAAGGTGTTTCATACTTGCATAGCCATTTTGGGCTTGAATATTGTATGGCGTGGGATCCATAAGGGTCTCACACAAGTCCATAAGGGTTCCACCCTACCTCTAAAAGAGGTTAGGCCGAATTCGCTGCTCATGGTAGTGAACCCCTGACTCAATCAACTTGGGCTTAGTTTGGGCCCAACATTTACACTTAAATGATCATTGGATTCAGCCACTCTATGAAGACCCAAGGATAATGGACTTATGTAAGATTGTTAGAATGTTAGAGTGATGTTCGGCTGATAAGAGTTCTTATTAGCCCATACTTATGTTTATCTTATCTTGTAACTGGGCCTGTGCTAATGGGCCTAATCCTGTTTAATGTTTTAAGTCATYTGGGTGTCCCATCACTAATCAGGGGCATCCCAGTAATTTCTTGTACTTTGTACTACATTCATATATAAATATATAATAGCATGGTCGACTGTCTAGTACAGTTCGACATTCACTGCATTTCAGAGTTTCTCTTCTCTCCTTTGCTACTTCGAGTACAGCTCCTAAGCTTACAAAAATAAAGCCCATTAGGTAATCAGCCCTGTAATGGTCTCTTACACCTAATCTCTGAGCCCACAATCATTAGAACACTGCTCACAGGGAAGGACTTAATTCTGTTTTGGTTTCTCCCCATTCTCTTGAACCTTTCTCTTCTTTTCTCTGCACAATCTTTTTCTTTTCTTTTCTATACAGTTTTTAAATCAGATCAGTTGTTTTTTTTTTGCACTTTCTATTGGTTAATATGTGAAATCAAATGGTATTTCGAAAAAAAAGTGTTCATTGTTTTTTCCTCTCACAAAGAGTTGTGATAATTGAGTTCTCTCTCTCTCTCTCCCTTTGTTGCTCTTTTCTTCTCTTTTTCACCTGTCATTGCAACCGGGTAGGTTCTCCATTCCTCAGTTGCAATCGAACCATTCAGTGCCCTTATAATCATATAGCCCTGTTCAAGTTTTCCATTCCCCCACTCCACCTTGAGCAAGATGTGGATACTATTTATGGCCTGCAATCCATCTTTTCAAAAGCAATCCATTTGTTTGGTTTGCATACGATGTTGTAGAAACATGCTTTGGAGGTTGTGTTAGAGTCAAATAAAAAGTCTATGCGAAAACTCAGAGTCGGTGTTTGTCTGTGATAATATGCAAATCCGGCCTGTTGTTGAAGCTTATCTGGTGGTGGCTGGATTTTCTGATGTTTGAATCCAGAGGAATTCAGTTTGCGTTGTAGCTTAGCAGGAATCTTACCTTCTTTACAACAGTCCTTAGACAGTTTAAGGGCTTTTAGATGTTGAGAACCATTGCTGCTGGAGATTGGATGAGACGAAAGGCCCCCAAAAAATCAAGAAAAAACAGAGTAAGTTTTTTTACATTGGTCTTTGTGGAGATGTTGAAATAATGCTGCCCAATGTCCATCAATACAGACATCTGAATGGCACATAGCATGGCTACTCAAGACGGTTGGCAGTTAATATCTGTCCAAATGCCAAATTGTGTGTGCTATTACTATTAAAAACTCCATGAGGTACCTTTTTGAATAGATACCAATGTCTTCATACCACAACGTGGGAGAGATCGCCTAGAATAGCAGGAGATGTTCCAACCTCATTTTTTTGAGAATTGCAAACCAATCAGCTCTTTTTGGTTTCATTATCTTCATCCACGCATCTTACAATTGATATAGACTGATTTTCTGTGGAGAGAAATGGATAATCTGTTTTGTGAGGGCACTACATTGTTTTGTCATCTTTGATTGGAGATGAGATATAACTTGCTTTTGGGCCTCTGTTATATCATCACCTAATAGTTTCATGTTCAATGGGTAGCTTTATTGTTATGTTGCAATGGAATACAAATTGGAGTCAAAGCCAAATAGTGGTTTTCATTGGCACTATTGTTGGGGGACTTCTTTTGTTCAGTTCCCTGGCCTGGTAGCTCCAACCTGTTGATTTGCACAATGCTTATAGGTGGTAAGAATGATCATTCTCATTATCCTTTGTTGCAGATCAGGACACCATCAGTGGCATCTGCAAGAATAATCAGTCCCATGAGATGGATGAGGGCAGGGAAAGCTGGTGCGGAAATGGTTAAGGGGGAAACATTCCAGCATCTAGAGCATTTTGGCAGAATCTCTGGTCAATATATAGATGATCTGTTTCATGAAACAATAGGGCTTTTAAAATTTTAAATTGGTTACATGCAAATGACATGTAACTTTAACTAAAGGAGGGTATATTTAAGCCCAGTGGGATCAGCCCACAAGGTATATTTAAGTTTATTTGAAAACCTCTGGGTATGTTTTAGTCTTTTACCCTAAGAATTATAGTCTATGCCCGGGCCTGGCCCGGACCCCAGGACTGAAATATGATCCCAGGCCGGCATATGGGTTTATAGGACTAAATAATAAAGTTTTAAATATTTATTTCTTTGGTAAATAAAGTTTTAAATATTTTATAATATTTTATATTATATCAGCATGTATGGAATACATGAAAGAACTATTGTACGGGCTTAGGCCAAGCCAAGCTTGGCTTTGGGCTTAGGACATTGAAATTGTTACCACCCAACATTCATGGGTGTCTCTTCTTATATAGGTGAAGGCAAAACATCCACTTTCATACTTGAGCAATGTGGGACAAAGAATATGCAAGGTCTTCATTCTCATAGTGCTTGTTCATTCAACATCCTAGATTGTAGATGAAAGGCATTAGTAAGGATTAGAATAAGCTTCAAAGAAAAGGTTGGAAGCTGGACAAACTAGGGACGACATTGGCAAACCTTTTTTTTTATGAATGATAATAGATTTATTAATTCAGAAACTAATTTAGAGTGAATTCATACAACACCCCAGGGAGAGGCACGAGCTGCAGCCCCTCCTTGAATCTTACAAGTAAACTAGGAAAGAAAAACAGGAATCACAGCTGAGCCCAAAACAATTCTTCCCTATTTACCCCTTGCTTGGCTAACACATCTGACAAAGTATTTGCTGATCTCCCCACCCACTGTACAGTGACCAACATATTCCTTGTCAACCAACTGGGATTTGATATTGCCTGATTGGGAGAAGTTGGGGCTACATAATTGTGAAATGGATAATTGATTTTGTAATTTTTTTGTTCTAGTTTTGTTATTAGGTGTTGCCTTAAGACCTACCCAGGATTTACTAAGCTCCTTTCTTTTTTAATTTTAGTGAAAATTTCTCTTATACTTATCAAAAAAAGAAAAAGAAAAAAACTTGGTTGTTCATTGTCCTATATCGCTTAAGTATGACAATGAAGGCTTTGCCTTCATATCTATAAGGAGTGCTACCCAAAGAGAATGACTCGTTAACTCTTACATGAGTTGACCAGTTGAAATCTGTGAACTCATGAATATATGTAATATCTGTTAACAGTAGTTGTACTATGCCGCAGGGGCATTTTTGTCCTTGTACCTATTTTTTATGTCACCCTAACATAAATAGAAGTGCTGGTGCCGCCAGCCTATCTTTTTGACTCCAAAACATGGTATCAGAGCATCGATTCTGAGATTAAAGTCAGTTCGACCATCTTTTTGCTTCAGTTTTCTTCTTCTTCTGATTGAAGCCAGCAGGAAAAACACATCGATTGACCTGTAAGTGTCTTTTTTCTTTTTCTTTCTTGGTCGTGTGCCAAGAACCCCCTAAAAAGGGGGTACACTCATGCTGTGAAGGGTGTTTTCAGTCCCATATGGAACGTGTGATATTGTTTTGTACCCTGTAACTGGGTTGTGGTGGCCTAGACGACCTGTGTCTGCTGTAGCAGCAGTTTTATATTTGTTTGTGGTGTTTGGAGTGCTTGTATGGCCTGAAATAGAGTGTAGTGGTCCTCATAGGGGCTGTCCAGACCAGTAGAATAACTGTCCCTTCTCTGGAATTCATTTCAGCAGTGTAGTAGTGTGCATTCTTTGGTTTAATTGAAGAGGAACTGGCCTGCAGTTCTGGTTTATGTGAATTCGAATATTCTTGTGACAGTGGCGAACTATGTAATTAGGTCCTTTCTATCAATGTCTTCGAAGGATTCAGTGACCTCTGGTGGGTCTTCTGGCCACAGCGGAATGAGTGGGGCATTAGACATGAATTTGCCTATGGCTGTAATCCCGTTTGATGGACTTAATTACATAGAATGATCTAAGGATATTAAACGCTACATAACTGCAAGGGAGAAAATAGGTTATATCAATGGTAAGATAAGAACCAAGGTCAGGAAGTGCAGAACATGATAGGTGGGACCAATAAAACATGATACTGTCGTGGCTATTGTTGTCTATGATGCCACAAGTAAGAAAACGTTCATGTGGGATGAAACTGCCTTTGAGATTTGGGAGCAAGCTAAATCTACTTACTCAGAACAATGTCATTATGCGGAGACTTATCAGTTGCAAGCTGCTTCTTCAACTTGCAAGCAAGGGGAGAGGAGTCTCAGCAATGGTTTTTTGCTTGCCTTTTGGGGCTGAACCCAATGTATGAATCTATTAGGGTTTAGATACTGGGAAGTAAAGAGCTCCCATCAGTGCAGGAAGTATATGGTCTAGTACAGTCAAAAGAAAGCAGGAGGAATGTTATGAATTGTTCGGAGGGGGAGCTGGTTTCTCTAGCTGTCAAGGGAGGTACAAATTCAAGTAATGGAAGTTCTGTTAAGAAGATTGATTCTTGGAAAAGGGTGGAAGACAAAGATAAGCTGTGGTGTACTCATTGCCAGCGATGCATGCACACTAGGGACACTTGTTGGGATCTCCATGGAAAGCCTAAGATTGATTCTCAAAAAAGGGTGGATGACAAAGATAAGTTGTGGTGTACTCATTGTCATCCTCCTACCACTAGCCCAAGACAAATAAACTTCACCAATCCTACCTTATTTGCCCATGGAAACTTTGTTTCCCAGGCCATGTGAGGTTCTAGTTCTTTCTCAAGTTAAAAAGAGAAGCTAAGAAGGGTAAAACTGTAAAATGACAAAAGAGACCTGCCATATAAGGGTAAGCAACAAAAGGAAGAAAAGTAAGTTTGTAAACTTAAGGCAATGAACTTTTTTTTGATGGTGGCAATAAACTTTATTGACAAATGAATAAAAATAGTTGATAAGTTGCATTTTTTTTTGAGGAAGGGATTGTTATTGCTTTATTCTCTAGCACTATTGGAGAAGGTGACTCTCTTAGGGCTGAGATCCTTGCARYRCTTGMAGGAATTYRAAGAGCAAAGGAATTAAATATCAGCCGTTTGATCCTGGAAGGTGATTCGAAGGTGGTGGTTAGTTGGTTGAAGACAGAGGACAGTGGTTTGTGGAACTTTAACAATGAAAAAAAAAACAGTTCTTATGGCTGGGTAGGGACATTGAGATTCACTACAGCTGGGTGAAGAGGAGTGTCAACTCATTTGTGGATGGGTTGGCCAAGCAAGGAGTGAATAGGGAGTCTGTATTTTGGGCTAATTTTTAATCTTTTCTCTTTGCACTCCCTTTGTTTTCTGTTTTTGGGGAGCTAAGATATTTTATCTCCCCTCTTGTATCCATATTCCCTCTTTTCTTTTAATTTAATGAAGCTGGTATTATTGATCAAAAAAAAAAGTTGCAATATTTTTTTAGGCTAAAAAGTGTTAGTTTAAATAAATAAGTTTCATAGTTATTTTTTATCAAACCTATCTGTTCAATTGATGAAATTAATTGAATAGTATTAAAAATTGTAACATTGGTAATGTTTACAAGGATGAGCGCATGTTTCTTATTTTTTATATGCTTTGTTTTTTCTTCTTGTACTTGTAGCCTCAAATATTAAACATGCAATTCTTTACAGGTCATGTTCAGCACTGATGGTTATGCATTTCCTGAAACCTTTTATTTAGGTAAGTCAATAATTTTACTTATCAACAATATCTGATGGCTATGCATTGATGATGATGCTAATTTTATCAATATGATCAGAAAATCTACTTTTTACTATGAAGCTGTAAGATGCTGTAGGATTATTTGTATTAATATCTATGGTTAAGTTTCATGGAGGAAATGCTACTCCAAGAACATGACATCAAAAATAACTTTCATAAAACACCAATAATAATGTTCAAGGTTACCAATCAAAGGAGATTCCAAAACTGTGGTAGGATGGCTCACAAACAACTCTAAGACAACATGACAGTGCAAATATACCTTAGCACAAATCAAACAGATTGCTACAGAATTGGTAGTGATGTGGTCATAGATGCATAGACCAGCAAACAGTGTAGCTGATTCACTTGCAAAGCAAAGGATGAATAGGGATAATTTGTACTAGGGGTGCACAACAATATAATTGTCTCTTTTTCCTAAACATAAGTGAAGTATACCAATAAAAAAATAATAATTTCTACAATGTATTGATAGCATCTGGCTTAAAGAAACTACAGCCCTACCTAAGATAGGACCCAATGAACCAATCTCAATAATTTACCTAATCTAACTTGAGTAATTATAGGAAAAATGAGCAACATTCCTAAATCTTTAAGGACTAGCCTGAAAGTAAAGATTCTCATTATAGGATGTATATTCTTTGTAAGTTCTCACCTCTTGTTTTTATTGCATGATTTTTGACTTCTTTGGTAGTTAACCTGATAATCTTTTGAATGACATCAAGTTTAAGTCAAATGTGTAAGTTTTGGCACCTCAAATTTAGAATGGAAGTGTAACGATAGGCTTTAGACAATCTTTCTCTCCCACTTTTGGTCAAAATCCAAAAAATTGACATGATTTTAATATATTTGCTGTTTCACATTCCATCATCTACAAGGGTTTTGTGACTAATTCTTCCTATTTATGTTTTATTCTAGGATGTTCCATTAAACCACAATGTTTTTAATACAAGCATTTTCTTCTTAAAGGCACTAATGTTTGCTATGCTTTTCCCTGCCACTGGCAGCAGTCGTGACTGGAACACACTCTAACAATGTGGAATCTCTAGCAAGCATTCACACTAACAATGTAGAATCTCTAGCAACATCTGGAAGAATGTTGTGATGAGCGTGAGAGGGTGAGGGAGTAGATGAGGGTGATCTGGTGGAGCCGAGTGAACCTCTTACCAGGATCTCACCCAATGAATGAATATCGTAGACAGCTGGCCTCACAAGGCTAAATAGGAGTCTTTTAGGGGTTCAAAGTATTGTGTCAGTAGGAAATATCCAGGGAAATGGCTATTTAGAACCCGTTTATGCTTTTCTGCTATCAACTTTAAAGATTAGAAGATATTTGATCATTGTGTATCACAATAAAACCTCTTGCTAACCCAAGTGTTCCCAGACCTGCAAGGGTTTCAGAGAAAAAGTAGAAGAAGAGAAAATTGAAAAGGAATGGGTGGCAGAGTCCTTCTCTCTGGCCGGCCCTAATTGCTTTTATTAAGACTTTGATTAGAGGTACAAAAAAATGCAAAAAAATCCCCTGATTAGTAATACTAGCACTAATAACTTAAGAGCACTAATGGGCCCGAGGACTAAAGCGGAATAATTACTAACAGTAATAAGAAGAAAAACAAAACATATAATAGGACAAATAGGTCCACACATGAGAGAATCATCTACTACAACACCAAGTATTGACATAATAAAATTGCTAATTGTTTTATTCACAGGAACTACTGTTATGTTCTTCTTTTATCACCTTTCGTTTTTTACTCTGTAGGTGCTAAAATAGCACGAGAAGTTGTATTTTCTGTTCTATGTGATGCATGTGATGATGGTGACTTCACAATTCCTGAAGCTGTGGAAGCAGCTGAAGACATCTTTAAGAAAAATGCAATTCGGCTTTACAAAATTGATGGGATTATTGATCTTTTTGATTCGAAGAATGCTGTATCCAATGACTTAGTAATGACATTTCAAAAGGACATTGTGTTTATACGGATTATCTGGGTTGATACCTCTGGACAGCATCGATGTCGTGTGAGTTTGTCATTAATTGGAAGGCTCTGATTATTAACATGTTTTTACTGTTTTTGTTATTATTTGATGGAAAACGGCAATACGCTAAGAAGTTTAAATATAATAGTTTTTTAGGAGAAATTTCTGGTCAAAAAAATAAGTTTTTAGGGAGAAAGGGAATGGCTTGTTTGTATATTCTAAGGCAAAAAACTACTGACAAATTAATAGAACTCAAGTGGTGGTTGTTCAGTGTCAAGACAAATTTGGTGGTTAAAGGTGCTTATGGATTTTCCTTTAGTTATCTACTACTTAAAAGGAGCTTTTACTATTACATCTCTGACATTTCTGCATATCTGGCTATACTAACCTGAATGGCAACATCAAAATTCTGAAGAGTATCCTTATAAATATCATAGGAGATGATCATCTTGGGTTAATTAGGATTTGAACACATGACGACAAGGGACAATTGATAGAGAAAAGGTTCAAGTTAATTATTAATAACTGGATAATATAGTACAGAAGAACCTCATCTTGGAATTTAGATATTTAGAAAGTTTTCCAGAAAGTTCAATGGGGAAATTTGTCCTGGAGAAGGATCCTGAAGATTATTATTGATGTGGATCCTCTTCCCTTAAAGGACTAGAAAGTATTATTAAAACTGATATGAGATTACCTTCTTTGGTAAACTCATGTACCTTTTTGTTAGTAAGAGTGATGTGCCAACAATATGCAAGTATAGCCCAGGTACAGTGCAAAGTTATATATTAGGAAGTTAGAAAAGAAGGAATCAAACTAGGCATAAGAGTTGTATTTTATCCTTACGTCATTTGGGAGTGGGTAACTGTTAATGTTCCATCATTACCATCTCTAAGAAGCATTTCTTTAGAAGCCGATTGATTTTCAAAAATGCAATTATTCCTCTCAACCCGTACTAATACTAATGTAAGGAGGAGAAAATTGCTACTAGGGTGTATGGGGTTGGTAGAAATGAATAGATATAGTAGAAATTGTGCAGGGAGTGAGGGGTTTCAATTAGATTTTCTTATAAGAAGAGAAGTAAATCAGTCCTCTAATATCAAGATTAAATTTAGTGATTAGTAGAATAGAACAGATCTGAATAACTGTATAAGAGAGGAAGATGGCGAAGAGAAGAGGTAAGAGAAGAAGAAGTCGAATAATCACCCTTCTCCTCTAACCCTACTTTTTATTAATCTCTAAAAAATTGATGAGGACAAGTATACCCTTAAGTGGGTGGCCAGCATGGCAGTTACATAAAGAAAGTAAAATAAGAACAAATAACAGGCCCATTAAGTGAGGCCCATCAACATAAAACAAAAGATAAAATAAAGGATATCACATGAGAGGCTGTTAGGGCCCATTCGGCCTAGTCTCTTTACAAGAAGAAAGGAGTGACCTAGAGTAGTAGAGGAGCTAGTGGTATTGTGGATTTTATGGGTAGGTAGGAACTTGTGGATCTTCCTATGCTGGGTTGGAAGCTCACATGGACAAATAATCAAGAGGAGGATTTTTTAGTGAAGTTGGATAGATTCATGGTATCAAGTGATTGGGAAGAAAATTTTCCACAGGTATCTTTGTTCTACCTAGACCACTCTTTGATCATGCTCTGATTTACCTAGACTTTGAAGGGATTCCTTCGAAGTGAGCTCCCTTTAGGTTTGAACACTTATGGCTAAGGAGGAAGGCTTTGTGGACCAAATGGGAGTATGGTGGGCTGAGATGCACATTGAGGGGACAGCTAGCCATGTTTTTAGTAAGAAGTTGAAAGTGTTAACAGAAAGGATGGAAAAGGGAGGTGTTTAGATGAGTGAACAACACGAAGAAAGAGTGCTTAGACATCTTAAAGGGGCAGGACAGGATGAAAGAGGAGGGAAGGTAGAAAAGGATAAAGGCTAAGCTAGATTATGATAGAATTGCATATCAAGAGGAGATGAAATGGAGACAAAAGGAAAAATGTCATTGGATCAGGGAAAGAGACAACAATACAAGAATTTTTCATAAAATAGAAAATGCCAGAATGAGGGAATTAAAAGTCTTGGAGTAAAAGGGGAGTGGGTAGAAGAGGAAGGCCAAATTAAAGAAAGTGTAGTGAACTTCTATTTGAAGTTGTACAAGGAGGAATAGAGGAGAAGACCTAAATTGGATGGCATTAAGCTTGAGGGATTAGTTGAGGAGCAGGCAAGAGAGTTGGAGAGAAGCTTTGAGGAGAGGGAGGTTTGGGAGGCTTTAAAAGAGTTGGAGGGGGAGAAAGCTCCATGTTTGGACAGCTTCACCATGACATTTTACAAGAAGTACAGAAATTTTATAAAGGAAGATTTAATGAAGGTATTCGAGGAGTTTCATAGATCTGCAGTCCTGGAAAGAACTAAAAGGTTGAAGGCTGTTTTGGGCAGTTGAGAGAATTCAGACCAATCAACCTCATAGGGTGTATATAAGATTTTGGCCAAGGTTTTGGGTAAAAGGTTGAAGGCTGTGTTGGGCAGTTTAATTTCAGACACCTAGGAAGCTTTTTTTGAAGATTGATTGATGATTGATGGGGTTTTGGTGCATAATTTTGATGGGACCAAGTTCCTTGTCCCCTCAAACTCTACCAATGGTGTAAGCTGGGATTTAGGGCTCAGGAAGAGACTCTGATGTGATGAACTTACTCCAATTATTGAAGGAAGTTTTCCTTGAACCTTATAAACTGGATAGCCGAATTTGGACTTGTACTCCTTCCAGTTCTTTCTCTTGTGCTTCTTTCTATAGATCCCTCTCTCAACCCTCCATTAGTTCTTTGCCTTCTTTTCCAGCTATAGAGCTTTGGTGCAAGCCAATTCCTCCTAGGGTTGGAGCTTTGTGTTGGGAAGCTGTTCATGAAAAGATCAAGACTTGTGATTTGCTTCAAAGAAAGCACGAGAACTGGAGCTTATCTCCACATTGGTGTGTTTTATGCAAAGCTAATGGTGAGAACTGTTACCATCTACTTATCTCTTGTTCCTTTACTGCATATATTTGGGAATGGTTTTTCTCCTTGTATGGGTGTAGGTGGGATCCTCCGGTTGATGTGAAAATGTTATTTGATCCGTCATTCTTTCCATGGCCAAATAAGAGGGGAGACTAATGTGGAGATGCACTAGAGCGACAATACTATGGACAATATGGGAAGAAAGGAATTCAAGATTATTCTTGGAAAAGGAAAGAAATAAGGAAGACTTGATTGAAGCAATAATGGTTAGGGTGGCTCACTAATGTAACTACGGATGATATTCTTAGAAAATGGAAGGAAGTGGTAAAATCTGTTCCTTATACACCTGCTACTACTTATCTTTGGTCTCCACCAGAAACAGGATCTGCTTAACTTAACTTTGATGGTAGTAGCATTGAAAACCCAGGACCATCTGGAATTGGAGGTGTATTTAGGGATGATGAGGGGAGAATAATTGCCTTATTTTCAGGCCCAGTGGAAGAGGGAGATTCTCTCAGAGCAGAGGTTTTGGCAATGATGGAAGGAGTCCAAAGAGCAAGGTCTTTGAATATTAGGAAATTAGTAGGGTAAGGGGATCCACAGTAGGTTGTAAATTGCATGCGTAGTGATGAAATGAAGATGTGGTTTTACAACAACGAAAAGTAAAAATTCAGATGGCTAACGAGGGATATGGGAGTATCATTCTGCTGGTGTGTAGCGCTAAGTCTTTTGCAGATACTCTAGCAAAACAAGGGGTGGGACGACAAGTTCTGTTCTGGGCACAATTGTAAGGGAAGGGTGCATTTAAGGAGAGAGATAAGCTGTTTTATCTCTCACTGTTTTTTCTATGTTTTTACTCAACTGTACTATATCTTTTTTCTAATCTAATGAAATTTCACAGTTACCGATCAAAAAAAAAAAAAAAATTGAAGGTGCCAAGGTGAGGCTAGGTGACAGTAAGGGTGCCTTGTAACCTAGGCAATCTTGGAAACAGCTTCTCTGTATGTGCAGGGGTAAGGCTGCATACATCTGTTCCTCCCTAGACCCGGCATTGGCAGGAGCCTCGTTCACTGGGATGCCATAAAAACCATGAATCCTAGGGTAATTCCCTAGGTTCCATAGCAAGTAGCAACCATCTTTCACTAGTAATTGTATATAATCTTCATAACAAATGTATAAACTTCATTTAAATCATATACAATCAACATATTCATGAAAAAATGGAAGGAAGAAAGAAATTTCAGAAAATAGAAGGGATAAGCCCTAGTCCTTGGAAAAGAAAGAAATTTCAGAAAATAAAAGAAGAAGGTTTGTGGTGGTGTTGGGTCTACATGTCAATATCCACAAAAGTGGAATAATTGTAGTGGGAGAGGTTTCCAAATAGGGGTGCAAGTTGGGCCGGGTTTGGGATGGCAACGGGTAGGGTAACTGTGAAAATTGTCCTTTCCATTCCCAAACCTGCGGCAATATTATGGACAATTTGGGTTGAAAGGAACTCTAGAATCTTTCTAGAGAAGGAGAGAAGCAAGGAAGATGTGATGGAGGTAATCACAATTAGAGTGGTACATTGGCTGAAGTCCTTGGATACATTTTCCAGTGTGTCAATAGATGACCTCTTTGGAAAATGGAAGTGGCCGAATCCTGCTCAACTAAGTCCTCTAATTACCATTGGTCGCCTCCAGAAAGAGGGTTCATTAAACTTAATGTTGATGGAAGCAGCATAGGAAACCCAGGTATGTCAGGTATTGTTGGGGGACTCCCTTAGAACAGAAGTGCTGGTCCTATTGGAAGGTTTCAAAGAGCAGAAGAACTGAACATTAAGAAGTTGGTTGTTGAGGGTGATTCCAAACTGGTAGTAAGTTGGTTACAAGGAGAGGATTCAAAGTTTTGGATATACAACAATGAAAAGAAGAAAGTCCAGTGGTTGACGAGAGATATTGGATATTTCCTTCAATTGGGTTAAACATTGCACTAACATGTTAGATGATGTTTTATCCAAACAAGGGGTGGGGAGAGAATCTATGTTCTGGGCACTTCTGTAAATGAGGGAACAATTGGGGGAGAGATAGGAGATTTTATCCAACATTGACTGACATTTACTTCTGTGTTTCTTACTCCGTACACTGTTATTGATAAAAAAAAACTTAGAATGTGTGTTGTGCCAGCACAAAGCCAAAGACATCTATTATTGCATTTCAACATTGCTTGCTCCATTTGGACAAAGAGTATTGGAGGTGTCTGATGTCAAGGGATGCTGTCCAGACTTGGTGGAGGATTTTTTTTTTTTTTTTTTTTTTTGCAAGGATTTTGGATTTTGGATTGAAGAAAAGTGGTAAAATAGTGTGGAACATGATTCCAGATGCTGTGTTTTGGGGGCTGTGGCAAGAAAAAATGCAAGGATACCAAAAACAGGACAGCAACTTTGGATTCGGTTTTTCAGAAATGGGAAGATTGCACTCATGGCCGGAAATTCATAATCTATTTCAAGGAATAGATCGTAAATCCTATTTTGTACATGAGACACTTTTTATGAAGAGGAATATTTTTTATTTGCATCTCTGAAGGGGAAATTTTTTGTATGCTCCCTTTGTACAGCTCCTTGTTGTCAAGATGGCAAGTAAATGGTATACGTAAAGAAGAGAAGATGGTTAAAAGACTAAAAGGGAGATAAAGAGATACCTATTCATGTATTTTAATATTTTCTTATTTGATATGAATGCTTGTTATGTATTTTTGAGCCTTAAATGTGTAATTATACTTTTCCTAACAATTCCATAGTTTTAACAAATTTAATGTTTTTAGAAAGTTTTCTTGATTTCTTTAGATTTTCCAAATATTGTAGCAAAATTAACAAAATATCCCCAAAATTTCCCTATCTCTATATGCCAAACTGTCAATTGATATTGAAGTTGTAAACCATGAATACGAGAGGGAGAATGGCTAATCTGTTATGTTGTTGTTTTCAGGTAGTTCCTATAAAGCGTTTCTATGATGTTGTGAAGAAAAATGGTGTAGGCTTAACTTCTGCATCCATGGCTATGAGCTCAACTTCTGATGGCCCATCTAATGGAACTAATCTGACTGCAGTGGGTGAGATCAGGTTGATGCCTGATTTGTCAAGAAAGTGGATGCTCCCATGGTACTGAGATTATATCATCATATCCAACTGTTTCTTTTTCTCTTAGCGGTTTCAGGAACAAATTTTATTCTTACTACCAAGAAAACTCTTTTCAGTAGTGTATTTGCCAATATTTCCTTTTTCCTTCTAATTTCTCCTTTTTTATTTTGTTAAATTTTTGTGGATGGAATGGTGCATAGCTCAGCAGTCTTAGTTGTCTCATTATTGCTGAAGCATGACTCATGATTTCCTGGCAGAATTGTGGTAAAGATGATGAAATGTGAAATCGATTCATAAGAAATAATGCTGGTAGGTATTCTCTATTCATAATGTACTTTTTGCACATTATAAGGTGAATATCACTATTCATATCTTCTGCATCATTCCTAGTACAAATGCCTAGCATATATGTCAGAAATTTATGATCATCATCATAAACTAGTCCTGTAAGGGAACAAAAAGGGAAAAATCCTGCAAGCTATTAATTGAACAACCTTAAAATTTGTGTAGAGAAGATTGGCCGAATGGTCCATAGACTGTCATTTTATGTTATGTTATGTTTCTCTCTGTTGTGGGCCTTATTCTGGGCCCATACTCTGTAATAGTCTGTTTTTTGTATTTT